TATATATATATATATATATATATATATATATATATATATATATATATATATATATATATATGTATATATAATATTCTCTTAAACTAATATCACAATGGCTCAAGACAGCCGAGACTTCTGATGTTTGTGTCTTGATAAACTGCGTCACAACAATACGTATGCAAATATCACTTACTAATTTTGATGAGTTTTGAATGTTGTAGCACAGTTAAAATAAGAGACGTATTTTTTGTTTTCTCGTATGTTAGGGATTGAAATAGCTCGGCGATATTTATATATAATCGATATATAATCGATTTTACTGAATTTCCTTCAAGAAATTGTTTCGATTCCTAAACTTGTGAGAAAACACATTAAGAAATACATGTCTCTTCTTTTAATCGCTCCGTAACATACACAGAGGCCATTAAAATCTATAAGAAACATTTTCATACGTTTCCTTGTTAACTTTCTGACGGCATAAAAACCGCTTTAATAATTATTTACATAATTACGTGATGCGGTTTAAGTTCATGTCGTATATAAATCTGGAAAACGTCTTTCCATCTTTATGAAAAATTTCGAAATTTTGCGTGACTATTGGTCTTCCTTGAATTCGTAACAACAAATATATAAATCCTATGTAAAACAAAAATCGCTGTTTCGAGCGCGCACATAATAATGGATCATATACAAATTATATTACCTCTTATGCAACGTTACTTTAAAAAAAAGCAAGAAAATAGAATGAATTTTACAATGTATATTTACACGCGTGACAAATTTACTTTCGCGTGTATGTTATATATGTTATATCATGAACTTAAGATGCTCAGACATTGATTTAAGAATCAAGTAACAAGCGAAAACGGTCCATAGAGTGAAATATTTAAGTGTGATCAAAACTCTAAACGTGCACGGATAAAAAAGATTAGTTGAATTGACATGACAATGACACGACTACATGCGTTTTGATTGAAGGAAACAGGATTTCTGATTCTTGAGATTAAATTTGCTTCATAAGAGTCAGAAATTCTGTTTCCTTCAACCAAAACACGTTTAGTTGTGTCATTGTTGATTCAACCATTTTCCTTCGTGTGATAGATTCTTAAATATAACTATTAGTGACGTCAATTTCGGGTATCTCTATTCAGGTATCCGAATCTTAAGTGTTATTCGAGAACCAAAGTATCCGGTTATTTACTCCTATTGTTTCTTCTTATTTATTCTTCATGCCATTCTATACATAAAAGTATCAAGGTAAGATCAAGAGAAAGAAAATATTTTACACGTTTAGTTTTCATATTTTGGAATAAAATAAAAAATATGAAAACTAATTTTTTTCATATTATTTCAGAAGAAAATTAATTTTATTCTAAAATATGAAATATCTGGTAAAATATTTACTTTTCATTGACCTTACATGTATACTTTTATACGCATATTGAGATTTATGTAAAGAGAAAAACATGTTTCTATTAAACAAATTTTTGGTTTCATTAGACCATCCGTCTAGTATCCGCAAGTTCGAATACCCAAGTATAGAAATATTCGGTTTATTCTGACAACATTATAATGACTGTATGCTTCAAAAGAATCTCGATACAGAGTCCAGATTTGCGAGTCGTTTAAAATCGTTGAAAAATACATCGTAAAACAATCTTCAGTTCTGGAGAAAAACTGCAGTGCTTCCAATTAAAACTTTCGCATCACCGGATGTTCTTTTCAAAACCAAATATTTTTTATATGAAACATTTTTTTGTTGAAAAGGTGTTGTTCTCGCAATGTCTTCGGTAGGTATCCTTCAAATAGATACCCTGTACATAAGTACGAAAGCAGACAAGATATCTTTCAATATGTAGCGCATCCAAAATTTCACTTGCTTCACTTTGTTTTGCCTGCGCTAAATCAGGCGATCTTTATGGTGGTTTGATTTTCCACGCTCTATTAGCCGTAAATATGCTCTATTAGTCGTATATCTTTCAAATTTGTTAACATGTTAGGTAAAGTGTATCATGAGCACCGAAACAGGATCTAGCTGTACTTATTATTTGTCTTGTTAAACCAGTGAATTTTTTCGAAAATCGCACCGCGTTCTTTAAGAAGTATCTGAAAAATATAACCCAAAGCCACTCACAGCTCTACAACTGCTTCATCGTTTATATGTATGAATGAGGTACCTGCATCGCAATGGTCAGCTTGGTCAAATATTCCCAAGTCCGCCAAGTGCGCAATTGCAACTATAATGTGAACAGGAACAGTTTGCGTGATAGCACGCTCATGTTTACTATATAGAAACAAAAACGGATGAGATATAGATGAGTTCGTCATTATGTATGGACCAATCATTAATCTACTCAAATGTGTTGAGTTTTTCAGAATTTTAAAATTGTATACAATTTTGAATCACGCATTTTTGGATGTTTCATCCCATTATTCAGTACTCGTGACAAATTATCGCGGAAAGGGGAAAAGAATGATAGGAAAGAGGAAGAAAATAATTATAAAGATATATACATCGCGTTCTTGTTCGCTGACCGCTCACGAAATAAAAACAACAAATCATTATTATTATTGTCGCAGATGCCGCGTCGTTTAATTTAACATAAAAAAATAATCATTATAAATTTACCGCATATGTTCGGATATATATAACAGATAATCTGCACAATAGGTTCTAATAAAATGTACAGGAACCCAATTCATACATAATTATCTACCGATAGATAATCAACGGTTTATACACTGCTTCAAAAATTTTTTTGAAGATAAAAGATACTGCGTAAAATACCGTATATCTTCTTCGACACGTTCATCTTGTAATATTTCAATATAGAACGTGCTTAACAAATTACATAGATATATGTACGAGGTAACCACCGAAAAGTTGTTTCAATTAAATAGCCATAAATTTGTGACGAATCAACCAAATTAAATGAATGAATGGAATAGAAGGACCTCCTAATATCTTTTTATCACATCATGTAAAATAAATATAGATTCGTAATATTGAAAAGATAAATATGGCAAAGAAAGGGCCGGAAGCTCGATTGATTGTATAGCTCACAATACTAAAAACAAATAAATAAATAAACTTTTTCTATCGCATATGCAAAGAACTTTTATAAAAAAAAAATTCAATCCCACGCAAGATTGAGCAGTTCTACACTCTACTAAAACTATTGCACAGGCGATCTATAAATTACATAATTATAAAGTATTTTAAACTACTTTAAATTTATCAATAGAGATTTGAAATAATCTCCCTTTTTATTCATTTTATCTTTATAATTTTTTTTTTTTTTTTTTTTTTGTAAAATTTCACTTTTCGAAAACATTATTGAGGTATGCATTCAGCCGAATTTTTGACCCCTTTTTTACAACGTTTACCTTGAAAATACGAATGCATATCTTATTTTTTTGTAATTCGACAATTTCGGCTATTTCCTTCAGCAACTTCCCAATAGTTACCTTGTACAATAAACTCTTAAGAAACAACTGTTATAACAGTATTGCAAAGGAGAGAAGGCCTGCTAAAGTAACTTGATAAATTTCACAATTATATTCGTTCAATTCTTTTAGTTTCTCTCGTGAGACGAATAAATTGTTTAGTCGAAAGTAACATGTTCAAATAGCTCTTAGATATTATTTCATATCGATCTTCATTTCCGTTGTAAGTATTGGGCATGAGAGTTTCATTTGTCAACTGAAACTTCAAAATTATTGGAAGTGATCACATAACCAAGGGTGTCTTTTCGCGAGCAGTTCGCGCTTCCATACTTTCGACACGGATAACAAGATGTATTACACTGTACAACACGATTATCATACAATTTTCGAATGAATGCAACTTTATGCGTATCTGTCGGTTATTGTAGATCTGTTTGTTCTAACTACACATTCTGCATTAGAAATTACAGATATACAAACATATACATACATTTGGACGTTAAAGAGAACGAGCCAAGAAATTAAACAGGAGATGTAGTTAAAACCAACAGACTTTTCGAATTCGGTCAGGTGTGCAGGTAAAATGTACAGCTATTAAGAGAGATAACACTGCTCACACTACTGTATATAAAAGGAAAAAAAAACAAACTGTAAAAATGGAAATACTTCGTAATTGGAAGCGTCCAGCACGACGGTGACTTATTCGACGGAAATCTCGAATCGCAGTGTATGTGTACGAGCACAGCGTCAAGTTAAAGTCTCCGACATGCGGCGCGACACACACTTCCACGAGGAAGTCAATATGTACAAACGACTTCAACTAATACAGGAGATGCCGTTAGGGTGCTTCTAGAAGATAAGCGCGAGCGCGTGGCGTCATTTTGCGTACGCGACCTCTGCTGCTTATGCTAATGCCAGGCTGAGGCTCAGGCTCTGGTGTCGGCAGACTCTCCTCGTCACTGTCTTCCGCATATGAGCGACGTTTGATCTTACGACGATTTCTCACGGGCACCTTTACACTATCGTCACTCTCCTCGTTGTAACGAGGTCGCTTTACGGCCCGTCGCCTACTATGCTGTTGTATACTCGTTCGCGAGTTCACGGAGTGACGTTGTTGTCTTCGAGAGCCACGCGACATCGGCTTGAACGCCTTGTACGAGTCATCGCTGTCTGAATCTTGATTGTTGGTTTCGTGTTGCGATTGCTCGTCTTCTTCTTCGTCCTCCTCTTCATCGTCGTCTTCGCTGTCGCTGTCGTTGTTGTCGTTGTTCTTGCCGTTGTTGGCGACATGCTTCTGATTTATCTCGTTCCCGGTCACCAATTTCCTCGATCGCGTGTCCCTTCTGACGAACTTCTCGTCCTCGCTCTCCTCCGTAGACTCCGGTGCGGCGAAACACTTCTCGTTGTCCTCCTCCTCCTCCTCTTCGTTCGCGTCGTCCTCGTCCTCATCCTCGTCCACAACATTCGATTTCGCTCTGGACTTGGCGTACCTGCTGTTCTTGTTGTTTTTACCACGATTCTTGCGAACCTGCCTGCTGCGGCCGCCGGGCGTATAATTGTCCCCGGAATCGGTATCGGCACTAACACTAGGTACCGCTGTCCTCGCTCGAGTTCTCCGGACAGGCGCACTGTCACTGCTATCAGTGTCTGATGCCTCGGATTCACTAACGTCACTATCATGGTTCCTCCTATCACTGTTCCTTCCTCTCTTCGCGCTCGACCGGGAGATCCGTAATTTCAACATCGGCCGAGAGGAGCCAGAAGTGGACCGTTTCGTATCGCCGTTTGCCAGTCGAGATGGTCCTAAAAAAAACCCGAGAAATGAACGAATTCGAAATTATTAATTTCAATGATACGATTCATGTAAGATGGTCGAAATACTAAAAATCTCAATTCACTCATTTCTTAATTTTCCAAAGTATCAATTTCACTTTGAATTTTCAAAATGATTTCTCTTTTTTACTGTAAATGTTTATACAATATATCTTCTCAAATACATCAACAAATTACTTTCATGACAAGCGTGATATGATAATTTGGAAAACATACGCGTACCAGGTAAACATAGGTTAGAATTGTTCTTCTGTTCTTTACCAGACTCGTCGTCGTCGTCGTCTTCGCTATTTACATCGTCATCATCGTCGTCGTCGTCGTCGTCACTTCGGGCGGACTTCGACTTAGGTGGTCCTGCACATATAGAACAGTAATGTAAGTAACTTCGCATCTTGTCTCATTACACTTAAAGTGAAAGTATCAATTACCGGACATTTATCTAATCTTGAATATTTTTATTGTTTTAGTCTTTAAATACGAATATTTAAATTTTCAACATAGAATATATGTATATGTTTAATATATGTGTATATTTTTATGTTAAGAAAATTTAAGTATTTATATTCAAGGATCAAAATAATAAGAATGTCTAGGATTAAGTACGTGTCCGACAATTAACACTTGCGATGCAATAGTGAGCGCTTACCTGTGCCATTAGTTAAATTAGGTTTCTTCTTTTGTCTGGCCTTTGCTCTTGTATTCACTCTCACAATAGTAGGTCGTCTCCTTGCAGACTTCCAATTTAAAAGTATCGTTCGCATGTGTTCCTCGAACATGGCCGACAGTCTTATTGTCATCGAATATATCTGAATGTAAGAATGAAGATTATGAATAAGAGAGTATGAAGATTATTAAACTGATATTGCACGGAATGAAAAGCTGATGTTAGACCCAAGTGCTTCCCATTTATACGATTTATGTTGTCTGATATGAAGAATTCACTATACTTACCCTTGAACGCTTATTAGTATTATAATTTCTACTATTTGTGAATATTAGTTTCATATCTTTGGCAAACTCTACTGGCGTTTCATAGTTGCCGCCCAATAAATCCTCTTTAACAGTACGGAGATCCATCGGTGTGTCGATTATCTGATGATAATCCGGGTGTTCCAGTCTGTCAACTGGCTCTCTGAAAAAAACAAAAGTATCTCTTCAATGATTGTATTCTTTGGAATAAAACATAACGATATTCAACTCTTGCCACGACTCACCGGAACGGAATCGAATCTTCACATTGCCACAAACTTTCCAATAATTGACGGCACGCCAATTTCCAGTCTTTTGAAATGTCTTGCGAGCGTAAATTTCTACTGGATGTAGATGATCTTTGTTTACTCGTCGAGGGTTTATTTCTAGAATCATCTACCTCTACTTCCGACTCAGAAGAATGGTATGTATCAAGCAACTGATGATACACCGCGGGAACATCCAATTGGGTAGTTTCCCTGTGCGCATTGAACAAATTATTTTTGTAACTGTTTCATTAGGAAAATATGAAAAAACATTAAAGAATGGAAAATAATAGAGTATTAGTAGGAATAAGTTAGAAATAAAAAAACTTAAAAATATAAATGCAACTTTTGCAAAACACGACATATCTTACTTTATTATGCGTAGGCACAAATCCGTGACTATCCTCGCTTGTTTCACTATCGTGCTGTGAGGCTCGTTAAATTGCTCAGCGTTTGTTGCTAAGTATCTCACATCAAATTGCGCCGACGTGATTCTTCTGTAGAAGTGATTCTCAAAACGGGCTTTGATGGTCGACAAATCGATCGGATATTCTACAATATATGCGTAAGTCGGATAGATATTGAGATCCACCGGTGCGACGAACGGTTCCGCGATTGCAAGACTCATCACTTGATCGAGACCCCGTATAATTCGACGGCAAGTCGCTTCTCTGTCACCCATGGGCCACTCTTCGGCATGCGGTTGATACAGAATCGCTTGTATTTCTTCCGGCAAAACTGAAACCGCACCACCGATTTCTGCAGGAAGCCCTAAACAAACAATTGATACGTCTAGCTATATTATATAAACAGAATTAAATAAATAAGATTAATTAATTAAGAAGTTTATATAGCACGAGTGCTACTTGCTCCTTTAACTACGAAATTGAACGCTTCTTTTTCAAGAAAATGGATTATGTTTAATTACTATCTTCGTCGACGGGCTCAAGATCCCACGGGCTCATTTGCTCGTACTCGCCATTATCCCATCTGACACGAAAGCACATAAAAAAGGAGTCCGGGAAGTCTTCATCTACCGGTTCCATCGATATGATTTGTCCCATCCACCAACCGTCGTCGATCATACAACGGAATTTGTCCCCCTCAGACCAACTTCGCGCCAACGCAGTGTCAAAGGTTTGACGTAACACTAAGAAATCTAATACGTCAGCCATATCGTGGTACTTGATAGTGAAATTCTCACCGGTCATCCGACCTTCCTCGTCCATCAACGCTAATTTTAAGCAACACAAACGAGGCGGTCGTATTTCGTACTTAATGCCCACGACTTTGACAAATTCTTGTGCCTAGAACGTACAAATTTCAATTAATATTATCTTTATAATTATCACTTTCATGATCATTTCTTTCTTCTCTCACGTAATTATAAAATTCTTAAAGTATGCATACTCTTATATTCATTTTGGTCCACGGTTCGCATCGAACGCTAAGCTCGTAAACTTTCTTGTTTCTAATTGCGTCCAGATATAACTTATGACCTTGTCTGAAATATACTATTTCATCGCCCATCTGCGGATAATACGGGGCTTTCCTCGGTATGACTTCGGTAAGCCACTCTGAAGGTCGATAGGCTTCAGGAACTTCACGGCCGTTAACTACTGGTATTTCCTATTCGAACAAAATGACAAGAAAAATAGCTTCAAGTCATATCAACTGCAGATCAAGATAATCTAAGGGTCGCGAATTTACCTTCTTTTTAGGACGCCTACTACTAGGACGTCTTCTGTCTGTGTCGCTCGGGGGTGTAAGGGATCTTTTCTTCACGGGTTTACGTTTGCTACGTTTAGGTGGTTGTAGGGTGTTAAGTCCATGATCCGCGATCCAATCTGAATATTCAGTACTGGAATCTGTGCTTGTAGTTTCAGAACACATATCTTCTTCGTGAGCGGTGGAGTCGTTGCTGTTGCTGCTAGCAGAGCTTCCAGACGTGCCAACGTTGTCAGGATTCTGTAGAGAAGCAAAACGTGTGACATTTTTTTAGTGAGTTGCATACAGACTTTTTGTGGATTTGTCTTTCTATTATTTGTTAAAATAGCAACAGGGATTGTCCACGAGTTAATAATTTAAGAGAGTATGAAACGTATTAACTATGAAATCCCTCTTCTGTAAAATACCTCAAATTCTTCATCCTCTTGTTCCTCCCCGCGCGTTGCTCTAGTTCTATAACCGTGTCTGGTAGTTCTATTGCGTTTGCGATTTACGAGTCTATTTCCTATATTGCCTTGATTAGCAGTGCTTGATGTAGACTGAGGTCTTCGTCGCATTTCCCGCCGCCAGTTATCTAATTCCATCTCAGCCATTGCCTCACTTCATAAGTAAAATAAAAACGTGATCAACATACGAAATAGAAAATTCTTTAATATTTGTGTCTAATTATTACAACGATCATTAACTCATAAAAAAGAATAAATTTATTTTAAAGTTCTTTTTAATTTTTCAACGATTTCCGCGCTGAGAAATCTAATTTGCTCGGACATATATAATTGTTCATCTCGTAACGTTATGTGAGAATTGCGTGCAATACTTACACCGCTTTGACTTGAGTTTCTCTGACGGCTACGTTCATGGGACGCGCGAGGATAGGCTTATTCCACGGCGTAGTGCTATCTCTTTGCCAATTGCCACTGCTTTGCCTAACGCCCTCAACATCACCTACTCTCCTAAGACCATGTCTGCTAGCACGAGGACTAGCTATCTGGCGGACCGGTTGTTCCGCAATATTATTCTCTCTGTCCTCAGCAGCAACTTCTCCATCCGCATCGATATTTTGTCTTTGAGCGAGAGCCTCGATCAATCGATCAATGTTTGATCTTGGCTCTTGCTCTGGAAGACCTTCTATAACTTCTTGAACTCCTATTTCACAAAAATTTACACGTTTTATAATGAAAATCAATTGAGGTTCAAAGCGTGTTAAATATAGTATAAAATGTCCTGTATATGTGTGAATCATAATCTTACCGCCAGCGCCAACTGCAATATTTGGTACCAGCTGCTCGCCTCTGCAATTTTCTCTCCCTGGTACCAATCTCTGTAACACTGGTGGATAAGGATTTCCATCCACGTCCACCAAAAACGGTGGTGGCATTAGATGCGGCGCTGTTTGCGTTTGCTCATCAAGAACATAATTATTCCCATCTCTTATTAAGGGTCGATAATCAGTATGGAAGAATAGTTCCTTCGGTATCTGGGAATAATTTTAAAAATTAAGCATTAATTTAAATATATAAAAATTAAGCATGAAATATAAGTATATAAAGTTATATATTTATATTTTAAGAGAAAAATAAACAATATTTAAATTGAAGAAAGTTGATATTTCTTCAATTTTTAATTATAGAAATCTTAGGATCTGTGAAAATTTTAAAATATCGTTTGCTATAAGTTGATTATTAATTATTATATAATTATATTTTAGCGACAGAATAAAACAGTTGAATTTAGGAAACGTTTAGACTTTTAAATTTATATGAATTCTCTTTAAGATTTATGTATGTAATATGTAATATGTAATAATGTTAATATGTAATATAAAAATATAAGAAATTGTTACAATAAAGAAATATAAAGTAAAGAAATTGATGTAAACTTCCTCCTTTAGATACCTACAGATGCATGAATAAAATTACAAACAAGGACTTACTATTTTCAATCTCTGAACGCCAGATCCAAATCCATACATCAAAAGGTGTCCATGAGAATCTGTAGCTGCAAGCATTGTACCATCAGGTGACCATTTTGCGTCAAAGACTGCACCATTTCCCTGACCCTCGATAAAATTTTGGAAACACGCCATCGGTTCTGTATTTAATACGTCCCAAATGATAAGCTGCCCGTCGTGACCAGCGCTGAGTATCACGCGTGGGTCTATCGGGTGAGACTCCAACACGAACACCTCGTCCCTGTGTCCGCGTAGTACCTTTATTAATTCACCCGACTTTGCATTCCACACTTTCAACGAGCTATCGTTCACCGCTGTTATAACAAATTCGTCGCTTACATCCCAACTGACCATAGTCACTTTCGCTTTCTTATTTGTGTCATCATCAGTTTCCGGTTCCCTGCAGCAGAGTGGGAAACACTTTTCAACAGCTGTATAGCGTATAAGGAACTTGACAAAAATCTTATAAAAATAAGAATTTTGTGGAAAAAGAAAATACAACATACCCAGGTAACTTGGTTGTCATAAGTAATTGCTTATGCAACCACTGCTGCTGCTCGAAATGCCATACGTTGGCGGTACCATCCTTAGAACCAGAGATAAACCTCAAACCACTGTGCGCCCACTGAATACTATCAACAGTATCAGTGTGCGCTTCAATTTCAAGAACCCTGCGCGGGCCTTCGTCGCCCAACATCGCGTAAACCCTTACGTTATGATCCGCAGATCCGGCTGCCATAAACGCACCACCGGGACTAAAGGAGGCGCAGATCATTTGCGCTTGACCGGGTCTCATTTTCTCATGGTACTGAATAGGTTTTGTTCTACAATAAATTCACACATATGGTGACTGCTCCATATATACTCGTACAAAATACGTGTCAATATATTTGATTTATATAAAGTAATATAATTTATAAAATTATGTAAAAATAAATATGTGTTTATATATCAATATATGTGAACATATGTTAAACATAAACAATGTTACATGAAGTAAATAAACATTCAATATCATATTAGCTTACAGATAATCAATTGAACTTACTGAAATACTGCTCTTTCATTTCGTTGGTGAGTATGAGACCAAAAAGCTACAGATCCATCGGTACTAGTGGAGACCAAGTAGTACACATCGTTACACACTATTGGGCAGAAATTTACGGATGTAATCATGCCTGTATGCCCGGACAGAACAGCCACCTTAAAAGACGAAAGAAAGAATTAACACACATGTAACAATAATTATCATCTACTTTTATTATGAAGATATATATTTTTATAGGTTTGTGTCCTTTTTCATTTAACTGCACTGTGTACTTACGAGACTTGAAAAGAAGCTAAATATTTAGTTGAGACTTAGTGGAAAAAGAAGAAGATAATTGGTGCATGTTTCGAAAAAGAGCAGACTATATGTTTAATATACTCACAGGCGACATCGTCTGGAAACACCAAACGCGTAATATTCGATCCAAGCTTCCTGCTGCCAAGAGAGTGTTATCGAAATTCACCGCGATGTCCATGATCTCCGCGGACGCACCTCGGAAGGTGGAAAGTAACCGTCCGTCGATGGAACTCCAGACTTTGACGAGCAAATCATCTGCCCCGGTTATAATATATTTGCCAGTGCGATCAAACAATACACAGTACACGGCGGATAAGTGGCCCAATGTGTGCCGATACAGCTCCATTTTGCTGTAGCACTTAGTCGGTATCGCCTCTTTTCGACTTAAGGGGCCAGAATTCTCTCGTCCCTGAAGTACACGTACTATTGGACAAAATTATAAAAATTGACGTTTCAAACGTAGCAAATAACAGTACGAGTGAAGTGTCGGATAACGCACGTGTGATACAATACACTTCTTGACACAATCATAACACTCTCGATCTCTTACCTATATTAGGCACTGACAAATTGGCAGGACGTTCCAGGAAGGGTTTTCCACCTAATCTTCCAGAATAATCGACGACGCTGCGTATATTTCGTAGAAGATCTACAAGAAAGATATTTCGCGTGTATTATATATCACAGAAAATACAACTTGAAAATGTCATACAACTTAGTTTCAATATTTATAATGTCTCATTTATCTATTTATCTTTATATGATTTTTCATTGTATTAAACATACAAGTTTTTATTCTAAACTTTTTTTTCGATAAAAATGCCTCCAAATATGCTTATAAGCCAATCAAAAAGACCATTCAAAGGCACTTTTATCAATAAAAGGTTTTAGAACAAAAGTATTTATTCTTAAATGACAATAGATTCAGTAATAATTACTATAGTGAGAAATTAGCTTACCTTAAACAAGGAAGCATTAAGGATATTTGTTTAAAAATTCCAATCATATAAATTACAGTTTATCTTTATAATATAGTTTGTCAGTTTGTGAAATAATGGCAAGAATTAAATTCTCCTAGATACAGATGAATACATAACATTTTCATACCTTCGTGAGTACGCAGCAAAGATTGCCTTCCTGCTCCTAGAAGCGATATGGCTCCTGGGACACATGGTGGCACTTCTTTCTCTAACACTGGTCCAATTCTGGCACATATTTGATGCAAATGATGTGATCCAATGTGAGGATATTTTCTCTCCTATGAAAATTGTTCACATGATAAATTGTTATATAGTCATTCAGAGGAATTGAGAAAAATCAATATGTTTAGATAAAATTCAAATACTTGAGAAGATTATGCCCATATTCATAGTCAGACTTTATATTCAAGGCTTCCTTAAGTTCATCTTTAGATGCTCTGTAGCCAATAAAATGATTTGTAGAGTACTGAAGATAAATTTAAAAAGGCCTTAAGTATAAGGTCTGACTATGAATACGGATATTATATTATACTAAATAAAATTGAGTGATAATCAATATTCGAAAATGTCGTACAACTTAGTTTCAATACTTATAATGTCTCATTTATCTATTTCTTATCTTTATGACTTTTTATTAAACATACAGCTTTTTATTCTAAACTCTTTTTATCGATAAAAATGGCTCCAAATATGCTTATAAGCCAATCAGAAAGACCATTCGGAGGCACTTTTATCAATAAAAGGTTTTCGAAAAAAGCTCATAGAATTTAAAATCAAACGACTGTATGCAACGTCAAGAGTGCAAGCGCTTCGCAATAGAAAGTTTCGCGTTTCCCAATATCCTATTTCAGTTTCCACAAGAATATAAAAAGATGTTCGATAGTATTCCACATTGTCCGGTCTGAATAATGCAAGTTCCGGGTGCAGAGTTGGCGCAAAAAATTCAAAGCGAACAATCAAGTAGTTCCCGCGTCCGGCAAACAGGTGCGCAGGCGCGTCGCGTCGGCCAATCGCGGCGGGGCACTCGTTACGCACGAGATCCGTTTCCATAAATAAGCCACGGCATCTATATTCATTGATCAGGCCGAGCAAAATGGCTAGAAAAGCGCGGCGATGATTGGCCGAGCGAGCGCGACGGTGGTAGTGGGGGGGGGG